GAGAGAGAGAGAGAGAGCACGCTGATTTTCGTATAATAAAATGTACACTTCTCTAAGTTAGTCGCGAATGCAGCGAGGGAGCGACGAAGAACGGGCAATCGTGCGAATTGACAAACTTGTATCGAAATAATTTTCGTTACGACTTTCCAAGTTGTAACGCCGAACGTCGCCGTGCCCGGGAGCTGTTTTTCTCCGCCCGTGCAATGAGAGAACTTTTCACGCGGCGAATAAGATACGCTCCGAAGTGTTACACGATATTATAGCGCCCCTTTTCTCGTTTCATTTCTTCCCGCTTCCGCCTGCCTTGCCCTGTCTGCCTGCCTGCCTGCCTGCCCGCGCTTGTCTGTCCGCCTACTCGCCTGCCTGCTTGTATACCCGTCACACGTGGATTTTTCTTTGCTTTCATGAGAGCATCTAATTTCGTAGTTTCGCACCGCGCCTCGCGAAATATCAGTGGAAAGTTCGAAACAAAGTAGTATTACGATCCGCCCGGAATCCCGGCCGACAGTAAACTGGAAGTGGACAGGATATCGCGGTCGGCAACGCCGCGCGACGTAATTTTATATTTTAGAGGCGAGCGCGGAGATATTGCTTCACGCGTAATCCATACAGTTATTAACTCTTCGGCATTATACGCGATGCGGACAATGCGCTGGACAAAGAATAATTCTTCCCGCGAAAATTACACTGTTAGCCGCGCAGACGACAAACATTTCCGTCCTTTGTCCTTTGGTTATAAAAGTGGTTATGAAGAGATGGACAATAGATGTAGAATATTAATATGAATAATCAACTTATATCCTATTTGCTTATACTCCGTGCTTAAAGGATATTCCACGAGCAGAATGATATGATAAAAAAAGAAAAGCGGATTTGCTGAATATTTGAAGCAATTGACTGAATGAGTTTGCGATATTATTGCATATCTTTTATTAAATCGTACTTTTTTATACCGATAAATTGATATTACGGCGCAGTAGAGTTCCAATTAAAATTGTTGCTATTAAATACAGGATATTGATTTTGCCGAGTGAGATATCCGGCTCCGCGTATCTCGTTGTATCTGCGAATAATCTTGCGCGAGCGTTTTAAACGATCGCGCGTGCATCAAGACGCGAGGCGGAGCATCGTTTTACACGGAGTGCATAATTTTATTATCTCGTTGAGCAGTCAGAAGCGCGCGGATACCGCGCGGCAATCTGAGCCATTATGTTCCCTGTGCAATGGTAAAATGCCGCGGAAAGAACTGCCGCAATTCGGACGACACAGCACACGATTACGCCACAATAGCGTCGCTAATTTCTCGTAATTGATACCCCAGAACGTACCGCTTATAATCTGCTTCTGCCCTTAATTCGCGGTTTACCTCCAACGGAATACTTGTCCCTTGAATATCCGGCGAGATATTTAAATCGTCGCGCCGCGGGTTGCGGAGTGGAATTATCGAGCGGCGATAAAAGGAGATTATTATTGCGCACGTGTGCTTGATAATTAGCACACGTAGTAAGTGATTAATGCCTTTGAAGCGGTTTAACGCTGTCCAAGCGAGACAAGAGATTAGACCGAAAGACGTTTGCGCCGTGTGATACCGGGCGCCGCGCTAATATCATTTGATTAAAATACTTGAAAGGACGGGTCGGAATTCGGACCTGCGCTATGTTTAATACGCTCTTTTACCAGCTCCCTCGGTCTTCCCGCTCTCGGCAAACATGTCCTCGCCGCGCCAATATTTGCTGAATATCTTCGTCGATATTAAAATTGTTTTACATCGAACCGACCGACCGTTCCGCCGGCCGGAACGAAAATCGGTGTCAGCGAAAACACAATCGCGTAACTGGATTGTAATTACAATAAAATCCGCAACGCCGCATCGCCGCCAGCATCGCATTAAGCTAATATTAATTAACCCGCTTTTCATTTACTGCGTCAAAAGCTGCGGAAATAGCGTTGCAAAAATTTTGCCGACTACGAAGAAATCGCAATGAGACACGTAAAAGTAGCGTTGCTTTAATTAAGCCTTTCCACGACTTATTGTATACGTGCGGCAAGGTGAAAATAATACACTTCTTACATGTAGAAAAGAATAGTCGGCCAACTTTCGGATTAAAAATACACGCCCCGTTGTTAGCACGTTGGCAGCACGGAAGTTTGACGAGAGTTTTAGCGATAAACGGAGTGATATAGATATTTATGACGCATCCTAGGAAACTCAGCGAATATATTGGCTTTCCCTTAAATACGATGTACAAAACTTGGGTGGTAAATCACTGCGCGAAGCGCGCGCTTATTACAGCCAGCGTATTCTTATTACCGGCCGACGAAGCCGGCGGATTAATTTAGATCGCAACCGTATAATTAAACGATGAATATTGCCGTTTGCTGTAAAACCGGAATACCGACCGCCAAACTCGATTTCCTCGACGGGATCGTTTTATATGCAAAATATGGAGCTATTAGTTCTCTTCTGTGGACGCGCGCGCGTTAATGCATATAGCTCGGGCAAAAAGGCACCGTGCAAATATTACAGGTGCTCCCAACACACACGAGAAAGGTTTGTCTGCGGCGATACCGGTTTGCCGAGTACATAACCCTAGTCTAATACTCGGATAGGTACTTCCGTTTATCTCCGTCGGCGGATCGGCGCGTAGCGCAACGACGAAGACGATGAGGCGCGGGACGAGATAATAAAAGGGTAACGCGCCTCCTCGCAGTTCTCGATTACTTCGAGACGGCGTTACGTGTCGCTACGTCACGCTGGCGCGTAGACGAATATATATACGTACGGCGTCATCGTGCACCTGATACGTCAGGGCCTTTAAACACCGATCCAGGGTACCTGTGTTTATCTCTCCGCGCGCGTTGACAGGTGGGGCGCCGCCGCGCGTCTATTGATTGGTGCCCAGCTTCCCCACCAGTGTCTCACACTCACATCGATTCCCCTTCTACACGACTCGTGCAGCAACCCTGCTGCACCTCTCTCCACCCTTCGACGTAGTTCCTCTCTTCTGCTACCCACTCTCGCCCTCCTCTCTCTCTCTCTCTCTCTCTCTCCTGTTTCTCCGTCCCACCTTTCTCTTCTCCTCTCCGCTCATCTCCTCTTCGTCGTTATTTTCCTTCTCTCGGTCTCTCCGCAGCTGTCTGCCTTCCTATCGTCCCCCGTGCCCGCTCCGCGCATCGTCCCTACATCGTCCTTCGTTTTTCTCCATGTCGACCAATAATTCGCTCCCTTTTTACCCTTATTTTCTCTTTCGTTTCTCGCCCGCATACTCGAGAACCGCGGAATCTCCACTATTCCCTCGCACCGTACCTATATGCTCTCTCCTCCTCGTTCCCACTCGTCTTCCGAACTCCGACGCTTTCTTCCGCCCTTTCCCGGCGGCTCCTATCAAAGCCGCGGTCTCCAAGCCGATCTCGCGCTCTCCTTCTCTTCGCGCTCCTGTCTCGCACGCGCGCGCGTTCGAGATTTTTCTCGACGCGCTCAGCTTTTTCTCCCGCTGTTATTGTCGATTGAGCGATGCGTCGCGCTCTGGCAGACTTTCAGCCGTTTCTCACGACGGCAACTTCAATACTTAATAAGCATCGGCAAGTTCGATGAATGCTATTTACACCAGCATTGTCCGCAAGACCGTGAATATGATATTGAAATGCGGTGTGACAGTAGCCGTGGCACTCCATTATCCGCCATATCTGCCTTGTGACGGACTGTGACCACTCCGCGCGGCTCCGGATCCGATTCAATTTGCAAGATCCCCCTTCTTCTCCGAGGAGGTATATATTTGCATACCTCCTCCTTAAGCCCGAGGGTGATGTCGTTTTTAATATCCGTCACGGGCGCAGGAAGCGGGATTACATTAAGAAATGTTCGTTGATATGTACATGTAATTAACTGTCGCGCTACGGCAGTTCATTCGAATCATACAAATTGTGATGGATTAGCGATTATGGAAATTC